TGTACTTCCTAAGGAAGATTGTTTTAGCTGTAACAAGACACACTTGGACACCAAGACCCTGTAGTCTCATATGCTACTGTTGATGGCTGGAGCTTAATTGGGGATAAACCTACATTTTATAGAGGCATAGGTCACCCTCATGTTCTTTAAATAACATGTGAATATATTGTCCTTTGTTTTAAAAATATATGTATATGTTTTTCAATGGACCCACACTAATTTAACATAGGTAAGTGTTTGGTGGAACATTTCCTTATACATCTACAATGTGCAATGATCAGATGAGGGTAATTGTTTATATGTCACCTCAGACATCATGCTGACACTTTTTGATATGAGTTTGGTAGCAGTTGAAGACATTACCAAGGAGGAAGTTTACACAGTGTTAAGAATGAACCATATACTGTGGGGTAGGTAGTTAGTATTGAAATGTTTTAATGAAAATTAAAGGGCCCAAATTGCCTCCTTACCTGTATCTATAGGTTCTATAGACCTATGACAACCTCATATGTTCTTTAAAATAATCAATGCTGAGTTCACATCAGAATGTGAACCAAAAGTTGATAGTCTAGTTGATTTGGTCCTCATAACTTTTTTCCTTTTCAATAATGTATTGTATAATTTTATTCTCATACCACATATCTCTGCTACTTAAAGTACACTTCTGTGGTTATCAATATATATTGACATTAATATTAATATATATTCAAAGCTATTCATGCATCATGATCCCACAAAATCCATACTGATGAGTACTCATTCTCCCTATTCACTAGGAAGCTGAGAAGAGTGAATACCTCATTTAAGTCATACATTTAGTTGATTCAGTGTCATCTTATTTAAAGTCAGTAGTGTAGTAGTTGTTTAAGAGAGGAATGGGTGATAAATACAGAGAAAAATTGCTATCCAACCTTCTGTTCCCATCCTGGTGTCTATGAATAAGTTTGTTTTCAGAAGAAGAAAATCAACTCTGTACTTGGCTGGAGATCCTGCTGAACCAATATTCCTATATTTATTGATCGCTACCTTAATATCTTTTGTTTGGGACTGGAAAGGCCTTGCTGCTATTTAGAGCACAGTCTTGCTGGAATTTAGTTCTTAGGTCCAGCTAGCATTAGGTAATCCACTTCAATTTATCCAGAGGGTGAATTTGAAGTTTCTTTTTAAAAAAAAAAAAAAAATTATTTTTAGTTTTTTTTAAATCCACAACAACAGTGGAATGCATACAATCCTTATTACACATATAGAACACAATTTTCATATCTCTGTATATAAAGTATGTTCACCTCAATTTATGTCATTATATATTTACTTTTCTAGAAGGTAACGAGTCTGTGATCTTTGCCTGAAGCCACTGGAGGTGAGTTTTATAAAGTTGTACAAAGCACCACTGAGAGGTGCCAAGTTTATCTACCCTCTCACAGAAGGTCTAAATGGGGTGTCAGTAGGGTGGGGTCAGCTTGATGCAGAGAGGAGACAAAGGGTAAGGACTTCTCATCTGCCAGTGTTGCCCCCCTGACTCCCACAGACACCCCTCCCCCAAGACTTGTTACCTACTTCTCTTATTTAAATTCACAGGAGTTTCTCAGTAGAATCTCTCTTAAATTTACATGAGTTCTTCTCTAGTTTCAAAGGGGTATATTGTCAACCATTATTATGTATTGTACTCTTTTTATTCACCTGATTGGTCATTGGTTGGGAGAGGCAGGACTCTGGGATGGTTTGGAAGAAGTTCATAAAGAACATTTAGAAATCCTCTGTTTGGTTGTCCCTTTTTAGGACCCCTTAATTTGGAAATAAGACATCTAATTGGAGTGCAGGTGTTTTAATTTGTATCCACCTCTCATTATAAGTTTTCCAGTTGTTCTTATCACAGTAATGTGGGCTGTTCTTTGGAAAGGAACCTACTCATTGCAGCACAGTTTAAAAAAAGATTGGTTTAAATGTGTTCATGTTTTGTTATCTCGTGTTTAAAAATTTCATTTACCTGGACTGTCAACTTACTATTGCTTTTCCCTCTACAGAAAAACAGAACTCTCCAAATGTCTTCCAACAATGACCTGATTTTAAACTCTGATGTCCTCCCTGGGATAAGCTCCAGGGACCAGAAAGGGCCTGTGCTAAGTTTTCACAACATCTGTTATCATGTAAAAGAGAAGAGAGCCTTTCTATTTAACTGAAAAACAACTGAGAAAAAGAAACTATCAGATATCAAGTATGTGCATAAACCTTGGAGAGGATCACCTTATTGACTTACAATGAACTTCAGGTTTTAGCTATTACCAATAAACTGCTATGAATATTTGCATTCAAATATCTAATTAGACACATTGAGCATTTTTCTTTTTTGCTAAATTAGGACAGAAATGATTGGATCACTTGTTAAGTGTGTGTTTACCTTTGAATGGAACTGAGCTAAAATCCATTCATTAAAGTGATTGTACCATGTACATCAGTCTTTGAGATTTGCACAATTAATGTGCAATTTAGTTTCCCTTATGTATGCCACATGGTGGAAATAGGCCTGGTGGTGTCATTCCTTCCTTCCTTCCTTTCTTTCTTTCTTTCTTTCTTTCTTTCTTTCTTTCTTTCTTTCTTTCTTTCTTTCTTTCTTTCTTTCTTTCTTTCTTT